GTGAACAAAATTAATATACCCTTGTGCACAAGTGCGCTCGGGTATAAAAAATTGGGGTATACTTTTTTCGATGTAGAACAATCCTAGGGGGTGAGAGCATTACAATTCAGACTTTACTGTTGTTAGACCACCCTAGTGCGCATATATGAGGTTTGATAGCTGTTGCCATTCGAACAATGCCTCATTCTCAGTTTTACTAGAGTAATTTGTGTAAACTCCATGTCTGGATCTTCCTGCTGACACTTTCTTCCTTCCACTCTTTCGCTGGTGTTATTGCCGTTAGCCGGACGGCATAGCCAAATCTACTGGTAATAGTAGGCAACTACCTTCTCCTGCCCATCAATTACCTGCGACAGTACGCCTCCTATGGCATAAACACTAGCATCCGTATCGTAGTTTGTGCAGGTTCCTCGGTCTTGGCCAATCCTTTACTGCTTTTATCTTTTCATTCGCAGTGCAGATACCCTCTGTTGTCACCTTGTGCCCGAAGTAGTTCACTACCTTCTTGAACAGTGAGCACTTTTTGGAAAATTTCTTCCAAATTGTTCAGGTGTTCCTCCAAGCTTTTACCCACTATGATATTGTCGTCTAGATACACCAAACATGTTTACCAATGTAGTCCCTTAAGAACATGGTCCATAAGTCTTTCATAAGTGGCAGGAGCGTTGCATAATACAAAGGGCATCACCGTGAATTGCCAAAGACCATCTCCAACGCTGATAGCTGTCTTCTCCTTGTCCTCGTCACTTACCTCCACTTGCTAATAACCGCTCTTAAGGTCGAGTGTTGAGATCCACTTTGTTCCAGTGAATGAGTCCAGAGTATCATCGATCCTGAGAAGTGGATAGCTGTCCTTCTTCGTCACATCATTTACTTTCCGGTAGTCTATGTAGAATCGCATTTGACCACCCTTCTTCTGCACAGGTACTACCGGCGAACTCCATGGACACGCTGTTGGTTCAATCACACCACAATCGCTCATTTCTTTTATGATCTGGCTTACACATCAAAAAGTGCGATAGCGATCCGAAAATTGTCAATAACCGGTTGCAGAATCTCCCCCCTGATGTCAGTGTTTGAGTGGACACCTTAGGCAATGTTTCGCGAGTCTTATCATAAGGAATATCCCAATATTGCCTTTGTGTATGATGTTTGCACTGTATTTACGGGATAATAGTAATGCATTATCTCCTTAAGAAACCATTTATTATATTTGAGTCTCAAATACACTCCCAAGGTTTGATCATTAAGTTTCTAAACATCCAGAACAATACAGTATATTTTGCTTAGCTGCCCATCCTTCTTTGCGCGAAAAATTTGTGCACTTGACCGAAAAAATCAGTTAAGCAAATTTTCTTTACTACTTCAGTGAGGAAGATATCCGAATCCCTATGAAACCAAAAATTTGAGGAGCACTTACCACGTAGAAATTACTGCAAGCGACATTTTTACCGAAGTGTATCTAACTATCTAAATATCCATATATAAATTGATTGCCATTTCCTTGTTCTGCGAGATGAGCAAAATAAATTAAAGTTTGTAAAATGAGGTAATTGTAGGGCCAGTGCAGATAACCGTGATACTTTTTTTGATAATTGATAATAGTTGCACAATTTTTAAGCCAGATATCGCTAA